AGGGCCGCAACGAAACTGGTGGTATCCACACTTTGACGCCCCTTATCAGTTCTAATCAGTTGCTACCACCTTCTTCCAATCACCCTTTTGGTCCCTGCCTCACCCCACATAATATTCATGAGTGCGAACATCTTAGGATCAACGCAAAGGGCGTTGCGAAACTGACGACGTTAGCATTCCGATGCCCTTTATCAGCCCTTATCATTTGCTATCACTTTCCTTCGCTCACCATTTGGGTCCCAGTCCTACCCTACACAATATTCATGAGTGCTAGCAGTCCACTGCCAACGCGAACGGCGTAACGAAATTGGTGACATCAACATTTCGACGTCCGTTATCAGCTTCTATCAGTAGCTATCACTTCCCGCCACCCACTATCAGTGTTCACGCCCGGCCCCCTACATATCCTAGAAGTTTGAGCGCTCTGGGTCCAAAGGGAGCGAAGTTATGAATTTCCGGTCACACACACACACACACACACACACACACACACACACACACACACACACACACACACACACACCACACACACACACACACACACACACAACACACACACACACACACACACACACACAACACACACACACCACACACACACACAACACACACACACACACACAATAACTTCGTATAACATCCTGTGATTGTGATAACACACCGGCGGTACATAGCGCTCTTCCAGTCACTCCACGAGGTGGTAGTTCCACATGTGAAGATCAGCACTAGTGAAAGGCCAGAAAACGGGTATCACGGAACGGTTGGGGTATATGAAGCTTCTCCGAGACGGCCCTCGAATGTCACGTGGTCACGATAGGGGTTGTGGGATCACTTCTCTGTCAATCTGGGATGGCCAGTGCAGTCCAGCGGTTCATTCTGGGGTTCGCCGCCGTTTTTCCTCAGCAAGGCAGTGTTATTCCATAGCTATCCGGCGTCAATTACCCAATCACAAGCAATAGATACAGCGGATAGTACAGTGCACAAATCGGGCCCATCGCCCTGGCGCTTCCCAACGCACTACTTCCAGACACGCGTGGCATGAATAGCAATTCCTCCAAAACGTGGGGACAACCTGGTTACGGGTCATAGGTGAGTTGTCTTAACACCTTCGAGTTGACTCCTCCCTTCAAAATTGCTTTCATACTCGAGGCTATCCCGGTTCCCTCACGGGGATGACGGTCTAGAGTCCCCACTGACGCCGCGCTAAGACTAGGTCCCGTCGCGCACGATCGTTCGCCGGACGTTTCTTGCAGCTTGAAACATTGGTAACTGCGCCAAAGTTATGGTGGTTTTTTTTTGTTTATTTTTGTTGTATGGTTTGTTTTTCAGTTCCTTGTCCGTTAAAAGCAGGCGATTCGAAGAGAACAGTGCGATGATAAAAGCCGTCCATCCTTACCAACCTTATACACGGCACCGAAACCGCCTTCGCCAAGTTTCTGTTCAATTTTCCAATTAGCAATAATATCGTTTACAGCTAGTGTTGCTAGGCCAGGAACTGTTTCTGAATTGTTTCACGGTTAGAACATCAACCTGAGAAGCCCCTGCAGTATGTTTAGGCAACGTTTCTAGTTGAATTGCACATGTGACTTAGGACCATCGAGAAGTTATTACGTAGAAGGAAAAAGAATACGTATCGATTGAGTGCAGAGGCGATAAGGCGTTAGGTTACGCGAGTACTTGTGGAAGATTGCAAACGTATCGCTTTGGTTAACCGCGCTAACGATAAGTGAGAGACCGCCTAATCGCCTACTCACCTATTCGATGGATCGATAAGTATCATTTTCTTCTTGACTAAACCCTAATCGCCTGCTCAACTCTGGTTTATACTTAAAGCAACAGTCCCAGCAGGGTGGGCGTGGTCGGAAACGACTGCAATCCCCTCGGCCGATTCCGACCACGCCCACTTTCAGCTCCCTCCCTAGCGGCTTTCCAAGGTGAGTTTTTGTTCAGTCACTTCCTACGTTCTTGACTAGGGGCTGAACAGCTCCGAAGTGGGAATCGGCCGAGGGGATTGCAGCCGTTTCCGACCACGCCCACCTACTGGGACTGTTGCTCTAAGCGAGCGCGCACTTGCGACCGACAAAAGCACTTGTCAAGGAGTCAATAGAAAAAAGAGAGCTATGGTAGTAAATTTAGCGCTTGTGCACGACCACTTCTACTAATTCATGATTCAGAACCCTAGGTTTTAACGACCAATGAAAAAAACCTACGAGATTGTGTCAATGCAAATCAAACGTGCGTAAGCCGAAGGGTGAAGATGAAATGCGCTCATCTACCCTCATTCTTGATGTATTGAATGATGTGATATTGGGATAACAGCAGTTGATACGCCATGCCACAACAAAGCTGCTGCTGGATCACGTAGCTACAGTATCGCAGTGCGGGAACCTTCACCAAACTACCTCTGGAATTGTTCGAGTTGGAACTGATAGCAACAAGGGATAATTTTAATGATCTTCTAATTTGAGTGGAATTGCCAAGTGTTTATCATCAAATAGATGGCGCACATGGCCGTTACGATAGTTCTGACTACCGCTCACACATAGAAATGCGGTGAGGCTTGCTTTGAATGCCCAATCGCGGAGTGAGGATTATGGAATGGAAAGTGGCGCTCATGTCTTTGAGGGGGCATTCAAAACAGTGCCGATGGTAGGTGGCACCGGAGTTATGGCTAGAGAAGGGAGAAACACGGTGGGGAACACAAATTTTTCAAATTCTCCTCCCCAGAATCCGCAGAACAACTTTACCCTCCCTAAGGCTCAGTTTCAACGACTACAGAGCTGACTCACTCTCCAAACGTGAGCATCCCCCGTTTTCTTCTTCCTCTTTCTTGTTTATCGTCTTGTTTCCTAACGCCATACGCGTCCTATATGAGCGTTTTGAATAGTTGTTTTTCTCGAAATGCCTCTTACTAATCGAATTCTTTCAGAACTTTCCATAATTTCTTAGAAATTGCTCACTCTTGGCGCAATTTATAAGCATGCCCTGTCAGAACTATTCACCCTCGGAAGTAGAAAAGCGTTTGACGCTTGTTTGCTGGGTAATCCTAATACATACAATCTCATTAATGCTGCTGTTTTCACGACTGCAGGAGAATTTGTGACCGATTCAATTTTAGCTATGAAATAGGATTAGTCAGTTCACGTGATGGAGTCTGGGCGTTCCAGCCTACAAAGTGTCGCTCATTTGGATTTCCTTCAGTGAACACTTTAGACCATTGTTTTACTTGTGCCCACTAAGGTCGTGCTGCATGCCTTCGCTCGTTCCCCCCTTCTCCCCCAGTCGAATCTATGGCGCAAGTAAAACAATGGGTCTAAAGTGTCACTGAAGGAAATCCAAATGAGCGACACTTTGTAGGCTGGAACGCCCAGACTCCATCACGTGAACTGACTAATCCTATTTCATAGCTAAAATTGAATCGGTCACAAATTCTCCTGCAGTCGTGAAAACAGCAGCATTAATGAGATTGTATGTATTAGGATTACCCAGCAAACAAGCGTCAAACGCTTTTCTACTTCCGAGGGTGAATAGTTCTGACAGGGCATGCTTATAAATTGCGCCAAGAGTGAGCAATTTCTAAGAAATATGGAAAGTTCTGAAAGCATTCGATTAGTAAGAGGCATTTCGAGAAAAACAACTATTCAAAACGCTCATATAGGACGCTATAGGCGTATAGGACGCTCACGTTGGAGAGTGATCCACTTGTAGTCTTGAAACTGAGCCTTAGGGAGGTAAAGTTGTTCTGGGATTCTGGGGAGGAGAATTTGAAAAATTTGTGTTCCCCACCGTGTTTCTCCCTTCTCTAGCCATAACTCCGGTGCCACCTACCATCGGCACTGTTTTGAATGCCCCCTCAAAGACATGAGCGCCACTTTCCATTCCATAATCCTCTAATCGCGATGGCATTCAAAGCAGCTCACCGCATTTCTATGTGTGAGCGGTAGTCAGAACTATCGTAACGGCCATGTGCGCCATCTATTTGATGATAAACACTTGGCAATTCCACTCAAATTAGAAGATCATTAAAATTATCCCTTGTTGCTATCAGTTCCAACTCGAACAATTCCACAAGTAGTTTCGGTGAAGAGTTTTCCGCACCGCGATACTGTAGCTACGTGATCCAGCAGCAGCTTTGTTGTGGCATGGCGTATCAACTGCTGTTATCCCAATATCACATCATTCAATACATCAAGAATGAAGGTCGAGTGAGCTTCATTTCATCTTCACCCTTTCGGCTTACTCACGTTTTGATTTGCATGACACAATCTCGTAGGTTTTTTTCATTGGTCGTTAAAAGCTAGGGTTCTGATAATGAATTAGTATAAGTGGTCGTGTAACAAGCGCTAAATTTGCGACCGTAACGCTCTTTTCAACTTGACTTCTTGACAAGTGCTTTTGTCCGTCGCCCCCCCCCCCCCGGCAAGTCGCGCGCTCGCTTAGAGCAAAACAGTCCCAGCAGGTGGGCGTGGTCGGAAACGGCTGCAATCCCCTCGGCCGATTCCCACTTCGGAGCTGTTCAGCCCCTAGTCAAGAACGTAAGAAGTGTGACTGAACAAAAACTCACCTTGGAAAGCCGCTAGGGAGGGAGCTGAAGTGGGCGTGGTCGGAATCGGCCGAGGGGATTGCAGTCGTTTCCGACCACGCCCACCCTGCTGGGACTGTTGCTCCTTTAGGTATCACCAGAGTCTGAGCGACGATTAGGGTTTAGTCAGAAGAAAATGATACTTTCGATCATCGAATAGCGAGTAGGCGATTAGGCGGTCTCCTCACTTATCGTTAGCGCGGTTAACCAAAGCGATACGTTTGCAATCTTCCACACAAGTACTCGCGTAACCTAACGCCTAATCGCCTCTGCACTCAATCGATACGTATTCTTTTTCCTTCTAGTTCAATTGCTCGATAGCCTAGTCACATGTGCAATTTCGAACTATAAACGTTGCCTAAAACATACTGCAGGAGGCCTTCTTCAGGTTTGATTCTAACCGTGAAACAATTCAGAAACAGTTCCTGGCCTAGCAACACTAGCTGTAAACGATATTATTGCTAATTGGAAAATTGAACAGAAACTTGGCGAAGGCGGTTTCGGTGCCGTGTATAAGGTTGGTAAGGATAGACGGGCTCTTATCATCGCACTGTTCTCACGAATCGCCTGCTTTTAACGGGCCGGAACTGAAAAAAACCTAAACAAAAATAACAAAAAAAAACAACCTAAACTTGGCCAGTTGCCATGTTTCAGACTGCAGAAACGTCGGCGACGTCGTGCGCGGTGACCTAGTTTTAGCGCGGCGGTCGTGGGGGACTCTTGACGTCTCCGTGAGGGGAACCGGATAGCCTCGAGTATGAAAGCAATTTTGAAGGGAGGAGTCAACTCGAAGGTGTTAAGACAACTCACCTATGACCCGTAACCAGGTTGTCCCTACTTTTGGAGGAATTGCTATTCATGCCACGCGTGTCTGGAAGTAGTTGGTCGGAAACGCCAGCGCGAGGGGCCTGATTTGTGCACTGTACTATCCGCTGTATCTATTGCTTGTGATTGGGTATGACGCCGATGTTGGAATGCACTGCCTTGTGAGAAAACGGCGCGGACCCCAGAATGACCCGCTGGTGTCTAGCCCCCCCAGTTCGAGCGAAAGGTGATCCAAACCTATCGTGACTACGTGACATGGAGGGGCCGGTCTCGGGAGAAAGCTTCAATATACCCACGCGTTCCGTGATCCCGTTTTTCTGCCCTTTCACAAAAAAACAAAAATAAAAAAAAAAGGTGGCCTGATCTTCACATGTGGAACTACCACCTCGTGGCGGTGACTGGAAGAGCGCTATGTACCGCCGGTGTTATCATAATTATACGAAGTTATCCTACTATATATATCGGTAAGTGTGTGTGTGTGTGTGTGTGTGTGTGTGTGTGTGTGTGTGTGTGTGTGTGTGTGTGTGTGTGTGTGTGTGTGTGTGTGTGTGTGTGTGTGTGTGTGTGTGTGTGTGTGTGTGTGTGTGTGTGTGTGTGTGTGTGTGTGTGTGTGTGTGTGTGTGTGTGTGTGACCGGAAATTCATAACTTCGCTCCCTTTGGACCAAGAGCGCTCAAACTTCTAGGATATATAGGGGGCCGGGCGTGAACACTGATAGTGGGTGGCGGGAAGTGATAGCTACTGATAGAGCTGATAACGGACGTCGAAATGTTGATGTCACCAATTTCGTTACGCCGTTCGCGTTGGCAGTGGACTGCTAGCACTCATGAATATTGTGTAGGGTAGGACTGGGACCCAAATGGTGAGCGAAGGAAAGTGATAGCAAATGATAAGGGCTGATAAAGGGCATCGGAATGCTAACGTCGTCAGTTTCGCAACGCCCTTTGCGTTGATCCTAAGATGTTCGCACTCATGAATATTATGTGGGGTGAGGCAGGGACCAAAAGGGTGATTGGAAGAAGGTGGTAGCAACTGATAAGAACTGATAAGGGGCGTCAAAGTGTGGATACCACCAGTTTCGTTGCGGCCCTCGCGGTGACATTGAAACCTTGGCTTTCACATGTGGTGTAAGGAATGGGACGGGAACAAGGTGGCGAGGATTGAATGTGGGTGACAGAAAGTGGTATGAGCGGCAACTGTACTGATAAAAGTAGCGAAATTGAGCGTGCACTCAGTCAAACTAAACCAGGCCCCTAGCAAGTGAATATGTTCCATTCCTATCCTTTCATCCAAAGAAGCAAAGAAAGTTGAGCTGCTCAACTATCTGGACCTGGACTAATAGCGAATAAAATCATATTTCCAATTTCCATCATAGCTCGGTAGATGCTGATTGATTTGTTATATTTCACTTACACACCGATTCTTCAATTGTGGAATTCTATAAACCGCTAAATCGCCCGAGCTCGATATCAATGCTAAATGTTTACGAAGTCATGATAAGTACCATTTTCATTCCGCATGCTACTGCGCGCATTACGCGACAATCTTCAGCGAAATTGGACAACCTTTGAACTTCATGGGACACATCTTCCAAAACATTTACTGTTAGTTTCTCTGTTACGTGACCTAACATTCTGCAAGTTGTCCAGTTTCACTGAAGCCCGCCATTTGATGCGCGCGGTTGCGTGCGGAGCTAAACTGGTTTAAGATAAAACTCCAGAGTGAATACTCTGGCAGAAGGTGCAATAGTTAGTAGACATTCTGCGCTGAGCGGTTGATCGCCAGCTGAAGTACTATTTGATTCAAACGCTGCATTACGAAGTCGCTTTTCTGCTATTACAACTGTTATTTGTTGTATTGCTTCCACTCAAAATGAGTGCCCACGTCGTAGGTTCTTCCACGTGGCAAATTACGAACGCTGCTCTGACCCCGGCTTTCGATTGTCCACTTCTCTCGACACCATAACTTCCTAATGCCTCAAAACGGATAGCGAATCCACTTCACAACCGACATAAGGTTTCACGCATGGAAGTGTCCGTACTAACGGTGAGATTTCAATGCTGATCACTTTTCGAATTATCCCGCAACGCTTAACTATCAATCTTACATTCATTCCATTCTGGCATTCGAAATGAGTCGGATTCTCGCTGGAACCCGTCGCGGCGGCATACATTATACGAAGTTATACGAAGTTCCAGCGCATACTGCAGTGATTTCGCGTCACTCAAATAGAATGTGAATAAGATGTACCTAGTACGGTCCACAGCACAGCACGCGCTGCTTGTACTTGTCCGCTAACCGCCGCCTGGGTCCCTGCTTTCCCCACTGCCCGGCAGGCCGGAGTTCGTGGGTCAAGAGTGGCAGGCGTCGCTACTTATTCTGATGCTGAAGGTTCGGAACTCGAAGTTTGTCGTCAGACAACTGGCAATAAATGGCCACGCCAGGTCACCCCCTTTTCCCTGCGTCCTAGCCACAATTTTACGTTTGGGGGATCGGCTTTGAAAACCTGCATTTCTGAGTACCCGAAAAGTCCGTGATGCAAATGTATTTTAGGGCGTTGAAGAAAGCTCGTGGCTACACCCCCCCCCCCCCGTCACTGTTGCGATATTTCTCGATTCTGGGTCGAGCACTCGGCTTTAACTTTATCATCATGACACTTGTCGGAGCGTCGTTAATGGTGTGTGTTTTATTTCGACACTGGACTATTAAAGTCAAACCCCGGGATTAGCCTGACTTGTGGAATGGATAACTTGGGCAATTGTAAGGATCCACTTACCTACCGCAGATCACTGCCAGCTTTGTCACAAAGGTTTGCGCCGTGGGCGTTTATCCTTACGGGTGCTGCCACATTGACACCCCGTTGGCAACGCTTCGCCACCCTCGATATCGGCGTGATCTCTCGTGTGTTTTGTCTTCTTTGACCGCCCTGCCTCGCATCGTTCCACATCCGACCTTTTTGAAGGTTAAGGCCTTAATTTCAGCGATCCCAAAGATTTCTCTAGCTTTCCTTTCCACTTTCAGGCCGTCCCGCAGCTCAGTCATCACTACGAAGCGCTCTTATCACCAGTTTTATCCCGGGGCTTGCTTTAGTGCGTGAAAAAAGTGTAGACTCGGAAAGAAAGTGTAGACTAATAGAAGAGTTTCCATGTTTCGGACTTGCTGTTCAGCTGCATTATAAGCGGAGACGAATTGCTCTAGCCGCTCGCTGGATTGGTTATGCGTTTTGAAAGAGATGTCGCCAGCTAGGTATCGACTGTCTTCAGAGCGGAAGTGCGTCCCTGTGTAGCGAGGCACGCGACAAATGTGGACTTCGTCAGGATTTCCCATCCCTTCATTCATTGCACGATCTTTGTGTCGGGAGATATCACCTGTAACCATTGAATTGATTGATAACGCAAAATGGTCCCAGCCGGGTCAGGTGAATGGTTATGCGCTCCTCGATCCAATTTTCAGTGAAATTCGAATTGACGCACACTGTGACGAGTGACAAACCTCGTTTTTCTCATCGTTCTTTCAGTTGCTGCATTTTGCAGGAGCTTCGAAAGGCTAACAAAGTAAAACTCAATGCGTTCACGATGGGATGCGCCTTGTCAGTCGGACTCCAAACGTTAGAGTCCATACAGGAGCTGCATAACGTCGGGTAATGTTTAGTGTACTCTCCTATCTCTTCTATGTCCACAGTATGGACTTGACTGGAACTGACAATGCACTTTCCTAAGTGGGATTTTGTTATAGAATGAGCAGAGTAGGCGTTGACGGAGATGGGATTGGAGAAGGGAGTATTAGCATTCCCTGGAGGCCATATTAGTCAAGTTTTCTGAGCACTCGGCTCACATACAATTTGAATGAAGGTGGGGGTGGGCACTGCTTGGATCACCAGCGGCAACGGCTGGCTGCAATGAGCACAATAAAGTTATTATCTTAAATCACTGAATATTTTGAGAAAACACTTGAACAAAACACACGATAAGGTCGGAGATCGCAGCAGGAGAAGCATGTCAAGTCGAAAGGTATTCGGGCTCTCTCCCGGGTGCGGGACGTGCACATTTCATAGCAGAAAATGTGCCCCAGAGGCCTGCAGGGCCATACCCGCTTGCGCTTCTGCCCGCGATAAGTTACCGTTTGCCTTACTCCCATAGCAGCTTGCCTACAGACTTCAGGAGACACAGAGCAGAACGCTCGTACTGATGACACCAGCATCGATTAATCCCGCTCCAACCAACGAGCCAGAAGGGTCACATCTTGTTTTGAACCCATTTTTTCTTTGGTGGTTTTTTTCTTCAACCGTGCATAATTAGTACTCTACCTTTGACTTCTACGCTGAGCTTCCACGCGAACTACTCTTTTTATTTCAGCTTTCTTCCTCGGATTTGAAACGCAATTTCTTGCCATATGTCATGATGTACGTGCGAGAAATCTATTCTGGTTCGGAATGTGCCCGACGATCCATCGACAATGAAAACGCTGTTCGGCGACCGCGATGGGCATCCGGATTCCGAGGAACGCAAAGGTCAGCTGGCATTTCGAGACCGTTTGAAATCTGGACGGTTGCTTAATGAGTTAGCCGTCATAAAAATCACTTTTTCTCAAAAACTAAGGGCATTACGATGTCATGGATACATGATAAAGCAAGTAGGCAATTCAAAAGATGACATGATGAAGATAAGGCAGTTTCAGATACGCGGCAATTAGCTGTCACATATCACGAGAAATGGCCAGAAAAGACGATCTGGAAAGTTGGGTTTATCAGCAAGTAGGTCGAAATTCTCACTAAGCAGGGGAAATCACTAATTACGGTAAGCAATGATAATTCAGATAGAACTTACATCTGGCGAGTTGCCGTGGAAATCGCTCGAGGACACTGTTGCGATTTGTAATGCCAAAGAAAAAGGGCGCACAACCGGTACGTCGATAAAAAGCTTTGAAGAAGATACGGTAATCTGCAGTCAGGCACAAGCACCGTAATCAAAGCTGAATGACCTGTTCATGCCGAAGCTTCCAAAACCCTTGTCAAGCGTACCACTCCCTTCAAGGGTAACTGGTGTAACGGCAAACGGCGTAATTATGCGCACGGGCCATTTCTCGAATTTTGTACGGCTAAACTTCCATACTTCGTGGTCAGCTAAGGCTTCAATCTTCACGAGCTGAACACTGACATGAAAGAAGTCGTAGCATTATTAGGCGCGCAATTCTCAACGAGTGACTGCATGGCCCATTTGCGCAAAAAAGTACCTCTCTGGTTTGAAGATTGAACTACAAAGTCTAAAATAAACTAAAAACTCGATCGCTGACCTATCCCGGCTATTGGCGCTATTTTATCCTTATTTTCTATTGATTTGCTGAACAAGTCTTCGCCAACCTTGTCAAATTTATGGATTCACTTGTACTCCAATGAAGGATGGTCTCCACTTAACCACTGGCAGGCTAATCGTTCTTGTTAATGAAGTAGGATTGAAGAAGGAATAGCATGAGTTGCGGGTGCATGAAGGCAGTAGGGATCGTAGAGGCAAAGTCACATAAGTAAACCGCCTGGGCACGTTTTTCTTAGCGCTTTCTTCAATTCTCGCCCCTGCATCTTCAGGAACTCTGAGCGGAAAGTGTATTTTGCACCATAGCCCGCCATGCTCCCAGTTTCCTGAAGAAAAACGTTCCTCAAAGTTTTCTCGAAATTTCGAAAAAGTCCTTCGAACAACTCATCGAAGCTATTCGTGTGTCTGTATTTGTTCATTCGAATATCTAGAACCTAGTTTTCGAGATTCTTTTGAACAAATGTCACGGAATTAAAGAAAGCGTCTACGGTAAAAAGGTAGCGCTTCGGGGAAGCATATACAGCACACCAATCACTTACTTGGCTGCCAGGAAGCGAGTTGTGGCGCTTTCACGACGAAAGGTGCGCTGGTTGCTGAGCAGGACTTCGAAGCACTCCGCCCCCAAAAGCGATCCGCCCACTAGTTTACTTGGTGATTTGGACGAGCTGCGTTGCCAGCAGCGGCACAACTGGAGCAACTCGATTGGAGCGTGGTTTGGCATGGTGCCACCAAACGCGTTGCGGTGAACTCGTTCATACGTCCGCTTTCTGAGCTGTTACCTGTTCATGAGTGAAAGCCAACGGCCAAAAAGGGGGTCCCGTTTTGCGTTTTCTTTGACAGATTTCCTCTTTTTTGCCACTGGCGTACCATTGAGCACCACCAAGTCTCCTCTAAACCTTCTGAACCCTATCGTAATCGCTGCCTCCATTACTCATTGCAGGTCTAACAAAACTATTCGCTGGTTGTCCGAAGGAGTACATTCACATTATGCTTTACATCGACACATTACGTTACTATGACAAGCCCAACTATGCTATAATTCGAGGACTTCTGCGAGATGCACTCACTTCAAATGGACTCAACGAATTCCCGTACGATTGGGAATTGGACCAGAGCAAATTACCTGATCCCGCTCTCACAGGTGCAGTTGGTCTGAACATATATTTCAAGTTTTAAATTGGTACTGCAGTGGAGAGCATTGACAATTTTTAGTTTTCGGAATTCTTTCAAACAAATGACGCGGAATCGAAGGAGGCGATTACGCTAAAAAGGTAGCGCTTCGGGGTGGCGCTTTCACGACGAAAGGTGCGCTGGTTGCTGAGCAGGACTTCGAAAGCGCTCCGCCCACTAGTTTACTTGGTGATTTGGACGAGCTGCGTTGCCAGCAGCGGCACAACTGGAGCAACTCGATTGGAGCGTGGTTTGGCATGGTGCCACCAAACGCGTTGCGGTGAACTCGTTCATACGTCCGCTTTCTGAGCTGTTACCTGTTCATGAGTGAAAACCAACGGCCAAAAAGGGGTCCCGTTTTGCGTTTTCTTGACGGATTTCTCTGCTTTTTTCGCCACTGGCGTACCATTGAGCACCACCACGTCTCCTCTGAACCCTTCTTGACCCTATCGTAATCGCTGCCTCTATTACTCATTGCAGGTCTAACAAAACTATTCGCTGGATGTCCGAAGGAGTACATTCACATTATGCTTTACATCGACACATTACGTTACTATGACAAGCCCAACTATGCCATCATTCGAGGACTTCTACGAGATGCACTCACTTCAAATGGACTCAACGAATTCCCGTACGATTGGGAATTGGACCAGAGCAAATTACCTGATCCCGCTCTTACAGGTGCAGTTGGTCTGAACTATATTTCAAGTTTTAAATTGGTACTGCAGTGGAGAGCATTTGACCAAATTTTTCAACGATCAATTTAACTTCCAACACAATGACAACCAAGAAAGAACTGGTTGTCAGGAAATAATGGGCACAACACGTTTTTCCCCACTTTATAGGAACCTATATGTCAACCGGTATTGAGTAATCTATCATTGGCGCTCATGTCCTTAGGGGGGACATTCAGAACAGGCATTCAAAAACCGCTGGTAGGTGACACTAGGACTAAGCCCAGGACTGGGAATAAACACAAGGGAGAACAATGGTTGCTCACAAATCCTTTCCCCTCCCTAAAGCTTAGTCCCGAGTTTTATCAGTGGCCCACTCACTCCAATGTCCCCCCTAAGGACATAAGCGCCCTATCATTTATTGATGACCTTCTTTTATCTTGCTGGCAACGCCTGAACGCCATTCTGCTAGAAGTTTGGCAATTTCGCTCCGAAGAATCGGGTCAATACTTATTTTGCGCACATCAGATTGCAGAAGCTCCCTCCTCGACGGTTTTTGAAAGAGCCGAAAAGGGGAATTTGGAACGGGTGAATAGGGGAAGAATGGCAGTGAAGTCTCGAGTCACGCTATCCCAGCTCCGATCCTGACGTTGACAGCGAGTGCGAAAGGAACATGATTGAAGCATTG